TGGAACGCACTGGCATTGGCTTCATTGGACATGGGGGAAGCTTCCAGCACCTTCTCACAGAAGCCACCCTTGTAGCCCCCCCGCTACCAAAATCTTGCCGTGCGAACCCAGTACAGACATAAGCATCCAGATAATAAACCTGCTTGTTTAACATGCTCTTAAGTATTGGTGATTTACTTAATCAGGTCTCAGGAAGAAGCAAATTAAAGCCTTGGCTATTAGAAACAATGACTGCTTCCTAATAGGGACAGTAATTTTGCCTGCGCTGGCTGAATCTATTCATTGTCTCTCTGTCTTCCCTCTGGCTGTATATTGTAGTCCCACTCTCACGTGCACTCTCACTTTGTCTCTCTAAGGCCTTTTTAATAAAATTAATACTGTTGCCAACTGATTCTTTGATGCTGCCAAGCAAACAGAATGACCCTGGCCATTAAAGTCTCATAGCTATCCATGCCCAGAATAGAAACTTCACCATTTATTACACTAAAAAAATAAAATCCTAAAATATCCCCCAAATTTGAGGAATTACTCTGAGTTGGACTTTCTTTTCTTCAAATAAACATATAAATCAAAAGCAGAACTGCAGGGCAAGATGCTAAATACTTTGTTATTGACAAAGGCACTCCTTGAATATTTTGCTAATGGCTCAGGCTTGATTAATATAAGAAAAAAGATCCTATTGATTTTGCTTTAAAACAACATTTAAAAAGTGCTCAACATGCTGGCAGCAGAAATTATGTTGTGAAATGCACAGAAAACCTGCCATTTAAATAAGGATGAAAGGGAGCCAGCCAGGCAGAGCCATTAGAAGGAGACAGATTATGAAGGCTTTGCCAATCCCAGTGAACCAGCACTCTGGAGGCAGTCAGCCAGACTATGGCTGCATACTTCTATGGACTAAAGATGGCAAGTCCAAATCCAAGGCAGACAATATTGAACTCAAAAAGCAGGACATGCTTTTCTACCAGGACTTTCCCCAGCATATATCACAGTTATATTTTAAATAGTAAACCACAAGCATGCATATTTTGTGTCCAGAGTACCAAAAAATTCCTATGAACTACTGCTTATCTCAGCTGGGCACTCAGTACTAACTCTTCTACTAGTCTCAGAAATCCTGTATACACACTTTTCCTCTCACTCTAAATAGCCCTTGACATATCATGACTGCCAGTATCCAAGATCCAGGGTTGCAGGGCATTTTGTTCTAGATAAAAATATGTTTTTCTATGGCTAGAGCATGATTCTGAAGTCTGGTATCTCAGGGGCATGCATGTTAATAAGAATAAAGAAGTTAAAATGAGTGTTGCCCTAGGTTCCCATGGGAACACACCACTTACTTCCAGATCTGGATAGTTTCAAAGTACCAGGTAAACACTTATTAAAACATATCTAAAAAAGCTATTCCTATATATGTCAGTGACTTCCTGGTAACTATTCATTGGGACTAATGGCTCAAGGGGTTACATTAAAGTACAGGGGTACAGGGGAAAGAGCATGCAAGTGGGGCCAAGCACACAGGAAAGACACTGGGAAGCAGTCAGGGAAGTCTGACATGTTTGAAGAGAGAGTTCAACTCTTCAGGGCTGGAAGGGGGTGGACACCCATCAATGGGCATAAAACAAGCTGTTACCATGCAATTTGTTCATGACTTTACACACTCTTTACACTGTGTTTTCTAAGGACACCTGTCAGCTGTCTGCCATAGTTCTGCGCTATCCAGCCATTTACAACTACAACCAAACACACTTGCTACCCAACTGGTAAGTGAAATAGCTTCTGTAGTTCAATACAAGCTATGTGGGGAAAAGTTTGTCATTAATTTGAGATAAAGAAGTTCTGCCTTGATTTCTGAAGAACCTAGCTCTGGGGAAGATGAGAGGAGCCCCAGGACAAAAAGTCGCGCTAGTGCTGGGGAAAGTCTCTTGTCTTGCTACAGACAAATTAAAGCCTCGAGGAAAGTTGCATTCATAAATTGAAAGGTATCTCCAGTCTTTAGAAACAACATCCACACACTATATGCAGATTCCTGAACATGTACAACTGCATTCCGTCTCTCCCTATGCTTTCCATGTGGACTAGGAATTGCAGCCCAAACCAGAACTTGCTGATGTGACAAGGATGCTTCCACTTAACTGCCATTTCATTTCTCTCAAGTGACTACACTCTGGAACAGATCCTGTCTTCTCAGGATCACAGATCTGTTAGCAGTAACTATAACAGGCCAGCTGCAAGCTAACCTAAAAGCTGATGAAAATATAATTCTCCTTTTGAAACAAAAATATCAGGGGGTCTTACATGGAATAACAGGAAAACCATGGTGAGCATTAAACAAACAGATGAGATAAAAAATGTGCTAGACACTTATAACACTGTATACAAATGTACCCTATTAATAGAAAGACTTCTCAGTTCCACTAATTTTTAAAGAAACAAATCCCTGTAGATAAAACAGACTAATAGAATTATATCTACTTTTTATATCTATTTTTTAAAAAGCAGAAAGACAGATAAAGAAAGATAAATGAGAACCTAATCTAGAAAACCTCTGGGATAACATACATTAGTCTTGGAAAAATACAGATTTAGACAATAAGAGAAGCTGTGTTTCAATCAAAGTCTTTGATCATTCAAGATAAGTATTCTGGAAAATGAAATTTTCCGCTTTATTTGATTTCCTTAGGAAATCATCTCTTTCTTCTCTGTTTCTATCTAAAGGACAAAAAACCCACCCTGAAAAGAAACAGCTGAAATCTCCCACCGTTCTCTTACAGAACACAATGCTTTTCTCCCGTCTCTATCAATATTTCTTACAATGGTTACTTCATCTATATTGTATATTAAATATACCGCTGCTGTGCTCTAACATTTCAATTTTCTCATGGTATTTTCAACATTTCCCTTAAATTCTTTATAGTAATATACAAAAGAAGAAAAATGCCTGTTTACTGAACAATGAAGCATAAACTCTACCCTTCCTCTAAACAAAAGCTTCATTAATCTAGCATAGATTTCAGTTTCTTATTGTATGAAAAACAAAAATGCCCCTATAGATGTCTGGAAAGGTATCCTGCAGTAAGAACCTTCAGGATATTTATTTCAGTGCTTAGATTTAAAGTAAGGTTGGAACTTGATCATTTCACACAATACCTTTTTGTAAGGTGCAGACACAGACGTAAAATGCAGCATGTGGAGATTCAAGTCAAGTTGGGAATAAAACACTCCTTCTTTTGAGCAATAGAGGTAATTAGCTATCAAGATACCTTACCATAGAAATTAGCAAGTCCATTAAGACAGAGCCATTAAATCAAATGTTCATGTCTCTAAAAGATACACCTTAATCTAAGTATCAACTCTCAGCTTTACAACATTCAGTCACTCAAGAGTCAAGTCTCTGTACTCCAAACCCAAACCCTAAGGTGTAGGAGTTGTTCAAAGCCACAGCAGGACACTTGGCCTGCAGCAGCATAGAACTGTAACAGCAGCCAGTCCACTGCTCTTCAGTGATGCTTCAGGGACCATTTCAAAAGCAGGATTTTCTCTCAAATATCACTCACATGGTTAAACTATTCCTTGTGTTCCTCATCATGACAAGAGGAAAACAGACCAGCTACTAACTTGTATGGGGATACATAGTGAAATCCTTCTAGGATAGTCCATTACACACATGGAAACAAACTAGGGTGCTTTTTAGCATTCTCAGACCACTGTGTTTTAGTAATTTTGAAAATCCCAAGGGAAGCACTGGTGAGAAATAATCAGTTCAACCAAATTCCATTGACTATGTGAATTGTGGAACGGGTCCTCACTGCCCCAGTGGATTAAAACAGCTTCAGCAAGGATCCTTGATGGTGTATCCTTCTTGCCTGTACAATGAGTACAGGTTGTACTGTACAACAGTCAAAGCCCAGAAGCACATCAACCTTCTACCCAATCCACAGCAGACAGCTCAAGCAACTCACAGATGGCAAAAGTGAATTCCAGAAGCCCTGTGAACAGCATAACAGTTAACTATCCTTTAAATTATGGATGGTCACCAACTGGGATGTTGCAACAGAATAAGATTTGTACACCTGTAACGATGACTATGCTCTTCAGGGCACCTGTTATCAAACAGTTATCTTCAGGGCTTCTTTACACTTGAAACTCTTTACTTACACTGACAGCTCAGGCAACGTAAAATACTAGCATTTAATGCAGTCTGGATAACATTTTACTGAAAGAACAATCTGCATAGGAAAAACTCCAGTAAAATGGACAGATCCAATGGATCCATGGATTTCAAGAAAGCAAATTACCACGCCACATTCTTGCACCTTCAGGCTCTGACAGTCTTGTCACCATGGTATTTCAGGATTTGAATACCAGCTACAAAGAAAGAAAAAGATAATTTTTTGGGAGCACATTTATCAAACCTTAATGTTTATGTTTTATTGAGGAAGTGGCAACAACAGGTATATTTCACCCTATGAGTTCTTTAAAACTTTATGAAGATTTGACATCAGTGGCAGATCCATTTACAGTATGCAAGAAGGAAATAAACAGATGAGGAAACAGCAAGTGCTGGATATTTTCAGTGCATGTTCTCAGCCCAGAAAACAAAAGAACCATTTTTCTTGCACTGCAATTTGTCACCCTCCCAGTACAGACTTGTAGATATACACAGGAGGCAAGACAATCCCAATCCAATCTTAAAATGTCTCAATCATTCAGTCTTTTTCCTTGACCTAACTTATCACTTATCTTCACAGCTCACAGCAGTTTCACCAGGATGCTCTGTCTTCAATTTTTTATGAGATGGCTCTCCTGGGAGAAGAGATGTGCAGTGCTCTAAGGATCGTGCAATTTCATCAATTGTCCATTTGTCTTCATGAAGGGCATGCTCCTCCAGCGTAAATGGCCCGTGTTTGGTTCGGGTCAGCTCTTGCATAGTGGCACAGGTAGAGAGTTCTACGGTAAAGGAGAAAAGAGGATTTAGAAGTGCATGGTTGAAGTTTAACTATCTGCAACTCAGTTAAAACATATTTTTACATGCAGCCTTCTACATTATTCTGCTTTGTTTGAGAAGGAAGTTCATGAAGATTTTGCACTCTTTTCTATCTTCTTAAATTTGAGCCAAGGAACTCCTTTGATTTCCATAGCTCTCCAGTGTAGCAGAGTTCAAAATCTGACAGAAAGTTGTCAAAAGGTTTTCCAGATTTAAGTCAGAATGAAGAGAGATGAAATAATTATGTAAGCAGAACATCCTGCATTCACAAGTGACTTGGAAGACCATGTACTCTTTTTCCACAGCCTTTGAGGCTTTAGCACTTCCTGCCTTCAAGAAGGATTTTTGACATCTTCATCCTGTGTTGCCTATCAGGGTAACATAAACTAAGATAAGGAAAAATAAAAAATATCAACAAATGCTTTGCTATGTGAAATAAACACCAGGAGGACACAATTACATAATGAGGAGCTACAAAACGTAACAGCAACCAGAGTTGACTTGTAAGTGCACAGACACACTAAAATATTCTCTCCCATTCCTCCTGATGCACGAAGATTTATATTGCTTTTTACATTTTTGAAAAGAAACCAGCTGAGGACAGACTTTATCTTGGTTTGTCATTAAAAAACTGAACATAAGCCAGTATGCTCAGAAAGCAATAACAGAATCTTCGACTTGCCGAAGCACAAACAACAACATTGAAATTCAAAGGGTTATCCCACATCACTTGCTTTCTGATCTGCAAATGTATCATTTAAAAAAATCCCTGAAATGGATTATCTGTTCTCCATCATGCAATTTGATATAGAGCACAAGACAAATAACCCTGTAGGAAAGCAAAACCATTCATAGTCTAAGCAAAGGAGAAAGAAAACACTAGAAAAATCACCCCAAATGTAGAGTCTTTCCAGCAGATAGGGTTTATTATGTGCATGGTAATGTTCTGTGCAATCTGTTTTCAAAATGTGATGAATAATGTTTAAAAAGACAGTATCTTTCTTCTTCTCATCCTTAATCTGAGTTAGCTTTAACATATGGAGAAGGAAAAGAAAAAATCCCCACCCTGCCTTGTATTATCTTGCTCAGTGCTATTGCTTACTCCATTTTTATCTCCCAGCCCCCAGGGTCCTCTGGCAATTATTTAGCTTTCATTCCCAAGGAAAATACCTTTGTATATAAAAACAAGTGATAGCACTACAATTCTGCAAAATAACACATGGGTCTAGTTACTGGAGATACACAAAATGACAAAATGCTTCCATAAACAGACACATTCATTCCTTAAATGTTTCCTTCATGGGATTTTTTTATGCCTACCTTTGCCAATGTCACTGACCAGGCTCCTGACATAAAAGCCACCGCCACATTCAACATCTGGAATGTGAACAGTGACATGGTAAATTGCCAGTGCAATGTGAAATCTACTTTACATAGAAACCATGCCCCCACATAAATGTAAAAATGCACTAAGCAAACAACCCAGTGATAAAATATTTATAGGATGCAACATCAATTATTCATCCTGTAACATATGTGTGGGTGAGATTGCTAAGCTAGACAGGAGGGAAAGCAAATACAATGGCAACCGAACTACCTCGCTAGAAATTAAGTACTTGCTGTGGTATGTCAACCAATGCTTCCCTCCTATTTATTTTAAAAGGTTCAGAAGGTTGTTTTATGTTTCTAATGGTGAAATCAAGTTATTTCAAGTATAGCTTAAACTCTCAGTTCTTTTAAGATACAACACACAGGCAGCTCCAATAAAATTTTAAATTCACCTTTAACTTTCCCTGCTCTCTCTGCCTTCCCCTTCTCCCTGTCAGAGATCTGCGGCTAGTCACCCAACCATAAAGTGAGGGCTGAAGTAACACAGCACCGAGTGCTGTCACTCATACCTGCTCATCATTTAACATCTGGTCCATCAGAGGACTATGGATCAACCAGTAGCTGAAAAGTGCAAGATATTATCTTGACCTTAAAGCAGCATCAAACATTTACAACAGTCTTTTTGGTTTATTTATTAATGTGCTGCTTAATGTACTACCCAAAGTTCTTCATGTATGACAGAAGGAAGGATAAGATTCTGCCTCTTCCAACCAAGAAAGAGGCCTGACAGTAACTGATACTGGTCATAGCTGTGCCCTGGGAGAGATGCCAGCACGTCTGGGCATCTGTAAAAGAATGGGCAAACTGAAGTAAGCAGACCTGAGAAAGGAGGGATGAGCTGGAGGTTGCAAAATCATGGACAGATGCAAATAATCCCTGACCAGCCTCTCAGAATTTTCCTCACAGAAAGATTACATATAATCAGCTTAACTTAAACCCAAAATACGGTGCCTTTGCTGGAAAGCAAAAGACTCCACACATGGGCTCACACCAAATTAAATAGCTGAGCAAAATGAAACCCATTTCACTCTCTTAGTCCCTTTCTGAGTGTAAACAAACACTAAAAAGCTGGGGGCATCACTCTATGTAATAATCTTTGGCCTTTACCCAGTGTGAACAGTGGTGGCTGGAACTGTTGGAGAGAGAGGCTGTACACTCTTACTGGCCGAGCAGGCTTTGCTTCAACTGCTTCTCCTCTCTTCATCAGAGTTGATAGCCTTTCTCCATCCTTCTTCAAAGCAGAATAGCTGATCAGATAGACCATGAAAATGTGTGTCATACGGTTGTAATAGAACAAGCTTCCCATTCTCCAGATCCTGTTAATATTCTACTACAGTAGCACATATTTTACCCTTCTAATCCTCTCCAAGTGCTCACAAAAAATAACTTCCCAAAAACCCTAGCAAGTGCTTCTGGAATCTCTTACACACAGAACAATCCCATTTCCCTGTAGCTATATAAACTGAAAAACACGAGATGGTCCTGTATTCACCTCTTGCTGTACAGACTTAAAGGTGTTTCATCACTCAACTCGTAGTTTATGAAAACAAAGGGTTTGTAGAAGGGGTACAACTCTTGCAGCTGTCTCTAACATACTGTCTCTCAGAAGTGTGCAGGGCGTGCTCTGTTTCAGTGTTAAGCTGAGCTGAGCACGAGGAACTGCTTAGACAACTCCTGTAATTCTGCCTTGCACCTTTGCTCGTTTCACAACAGGGTCTTCCCTGAACAGCAACTCCCAAGTTACGTAGCCTTGCTCCAAAATGTTTAGGAGACCACTACAGAACAACAACAACAACAAAAAATTTCACTGATTACATGAAATTTTATCCCAAGCTCCAACTTTGGTCTTGACAGAAAGATGACCCTAGAAAAATCTCTGAAGAACTTGCTCAGATTAGCAAAGGATAATTTGCAACAGGTCACATGAAGCAGAACACCTACTGAATTACAGCCCTTACAGGACTCACACTGGAACCACAGCAACTGACCCATTGTAAATGCAAAGGAAAGCATGTTAGTTTAAACCACCATAAAAGCCATCTGTCACAAGCTAAGTGCTTGCACGCTGCCAGCTGCTATGGCTCACCTGACTAGAAGAAATTTGCTAAGCTACAGAAACTCAGTCACTAATCACTCATTCAGAAAACTAATTCATAGTTATTTAAGGCATTCTACACAGATGCCTGCCCTTACCCACAACTAACATTTAAGACTTGGAGCTTTGCTTTCTAACTGGAAGACACAACAGAAATCATCAAGCCCTGCAAAGCTGTTGAAGACTGCTTCACTACTTTATATTTACCCAAAAAAGCCAGAGGCTCCAGGTGGACTTACAGTGGGGGAACCTGCATTATGTCCCCTGTGAACTTCTGTAGCACATTTTCAAGATCTCCTTTTGTTATCTGGTCTGTAGAAAGAAGACAGTAAGTATGTTAGCACTGATTATTCATATGGCATTAACGGCATCAATCATGTTCTGCAAACAGCTACAAAGAAGAGTTGATCTCATCTGAATTTAGATTGGGTGAAAAACACCAAAGAGCTAAAAAACAGAATGTAGGTAGGAGTGTGAATTATCACAAAAAGAGTGGAACAAACTGTCCAAGGTGATTAAGACAGTCTGGACACATTCAGAAGGGCAGAAATCCCAATACACACCGTTTTCTTTCACAATTTCTCTCTCTTGGGCCTTCAAATTCTTTTTTTTTTGGTGACCTATGCAAAAACAACAAAATCTGCCCAATTCTGATTTTCATTAAAGGAGAAGAAAGACCAAAATGCTCATCTAACCTTGGCAACTTCTCTTTAGAAGTACCTAATTGCAGTGAAAAATACAACGGATTATTAGAGAACAAAAGCATTGTGGGGGTATTTGCCAGTGAAGAAACAGACTGCATCTGGAACAACACCCCAAATGTCTGTCTCAGACAACTAACCTGCAACTGCACACCACGGTATTGTTACATATTAAGTTAGGCAATTTCACTGAAGAAATCCTGTAAAAGAAAGATAGCTGCTTTAGGCAACCTACTCTCTTTTAAGAGTCCACATACACACCTGTCCCACTTTTATTAGGTTGTAACCCATGCAGGTGACTGCATTGGTCCTTTGAAATGCTGTTCAATAGATATGATGTCCATCCCTAATTTGTTTATACAATACAAACGTCAGATCTGTAATCGTAACACTCTTGAGGGCATTTCTACTCTCTAGGACTTGACTAGTCCTGTTACTTGTAAGTTATATTCAAATAGTGTCACCCTACTAAGCCAACAGCATCCTGGAACAAAACCCAGCCAAATTTACTGAGCCTTCATTGTTTTGGAACAGACCTTTACTTGCAAACCTTACAGAAGAGATGTACGTCATGCTGTAAGTAAAAAAGAAGAGGTTTCTTTGCACAGCAGCATTGGAAGATGGCAATGTGGTACCTCACTTTTGCAAAGCACACTTTGCAGTGTCAGGAGCAGATGCTGTGCCTAGGCCCCAGCTGCTCCCTCAAGAAGTGTCATTAACAGCAAGGTTGCAGGCACCCAAGTCAGTCAGGGATGCTGGGAGAGACCAACGCACATCAGAATATGGGGTAGGAACAACAAAATCAGTTGTATAGTAAGTCTGGATCTTCTGAGGAGCTTCTTACATGGTTATTTCAATCTTCTGATTGTATTATTCTGGTTTAGCAACATATCACAACAGAACTACATGGCAAAAAGTTAGCATGACCCAGCTCTATGCTGGTGATCCCATCAGCCTCCTTGTGAGCCCCAGGTTGCTTCAGGCTACGATTTGAGTATTTAAGATCTAAGTGTAAGTGCCACTTGGGGTTCTCTTTCAGTTTTCACCCCATGAACTGCATTTGTGGTTAGGGCATTTAATGAGATATCCGAGTTCAGTTCCTGCTCTGATCTCGTATTTCCCTGCTTGAGGGGTTACATCAAGCCTCTGAGGTAATCACTCATGCTACAGGCAAGCTCTATCTCAGGAAAAAAACCAAAGCACCATGTGAGGAATGATGGATTAAGCCATTTACAAACAAAGTTGGGTGGTGTGTTATCAAAGTAAATATTTACAGATGAGTTTGCTAAGATCTAGAATAAATCATATTTATGTCCTGCAATACACTGTGGCACAAGCTGGCCAGTATTACATACTGAAAACCTAAACCCATGTCCTTTTCTATTTTTTTTTATCATGCACTGCCTTTCTGTTAATGGACTGTATTGGATTCTTGCCCTCTCCTAGAATAACACACAAGCTGGTGGAGCTTTCATCCAGGTCTCAGTCAGAAAGAATGTTCTAGCAATCTTGTCACAAACAGTTTCACTATGTCTAAACTGCGTATCTGTCCCAGGCACCAGTTTGGACTCATGGGCCAGCAACTAAGTGCTCACTCACACCACACACAGCCCGGTGGGATGGGGAGAACTGGAAAAAAGGTACAATCTGTGGCTTGAGATAAGAACAGTTTAGTAAGTGATATAAAAGTTAAATATAATAAGAACAAATGGAAGTCAAGAGAAAGAGAGAAATGAAACCCAAGACAATACAATTGCTCTGGAGAGGGACTTTTTACACGGGCATTTAGTGACAGACAAGGGGGAATGGCTTTAAACTGACAGAGGGGAGATTGAGATGAGCTCTTAGGCAGAAGCTCTTCCCTGTGAGGGTGCTGAGGCGTTGGCACAGGGTGCCCAGAGAAGCTGTGGCTGCCCCATCCCTGGCAGTGTTCAAGGGCAGGTTGGACACAGGGGCTTGGAGCAACCTGCTCTAGTGGAAGGTGTCCCTGCCCGTGGCAGGGGTTGGAACTGGATAAGCTTTGAGGTCCCTTCCAACGCAAACCAGGCTGGGATTCTATGATCTGCTAGGGAACGTAAATCTGGCAGTGCCAACAGCATCCAGGATTGGGCCTCAGTGTACAGAAAAGGCACTAAACCAGCTTGCAAGATATATAAAACTCTTCCTGAATGACTCCAGTGGACCACAAAAGGAAAGTGCCTGCAGAAAGCTGCCTGCTATATTCACTATACGAAAGTGTCACATTTTAGTCCTCCAAGTATCCCTAGACAGCAGTTTAGAAGGAAAGCTGCTGTTTATTACAGTTAGTCACAATGAAAGGATGTACTGAAGAGAGCTCCTTAGGTTTAACCCCTCCTGAACTTGCCCTCTCACCTGCCTCAAGTACAGAGACAAACTGCATAAGAAAGGGGGTTGGGGGCAAGAGGGGGAATCCAGGCCACCTTTTCCAGCATGCTATTAAAACAAGCTAATTTACTTCATGTACCTATTACCAGCTACCACAAACAATGTGGGACCTGGAGAGTTGCTAAGCAACCACTTACTTTTTTTCCCTTTTTTTCTCCAGGTTGTGAAAGAATTAATAGTAAATACATTTGTTGTGTCCCTGATTAGTTCTGTGTTGTTTCTGAGATGCCCTGGGTATTGTGGAATTGTCCACACCAACAAAGCCAGTCAGGATTAGTTATGAAGCCTTCAACTCTAGCACTGTGCTTTGTGGGTCAGAAAAGTTCATCTCTTGAAGTTGCTAGGACACAGACTGCAAGCAAGAGCAAGATTTGGTAGGTGTACATATATGCAGAGAGTAGTTTATGCCATCCTCATTTTACATTGAGTAGTCTACAGATAAAGGGGCATCCTAAAGGGCAGATACAAGTACTTTATTCCCCCACTGGCCTTGAAGGGTGTTACTAAAAGAACACTCATGGGACTACATGCTGAAAAAGGAAAATTTTACTGGACACAGCACGTCATTTGTCAGCCTCTCAAAGATTTCAAATGACACAGTCCTGCCCAATTCTATTTTCTCCCTCCTAATCTAATGCCTGGTTTGTTTCTTTCCAGAAAAAATGAACACTTGCACTGGACATAATTGCATGAAGCTGCTCTGAATTATATGAGCACTGAAGTTGAAGATGAAATAATCCTAGTTTGATTTCACATTTAAACTTAATTCACAGAGTGCCAAACATCTCTTCCGCTTTTCTATGGTAGAGACCATTTAAGCCTTCAAATCACATCAAGTATAGAGATAAATTTTTGCTTACCATAAGGTTTTTCTTCAGTTACTTTTCCTGTAGCATCTAATGTATCAGTAGCTTTGCCCAGTAGTCCAATGGCAGTGTATTTCTGGGAAGGAAAAAGGGTTTGGTGAGTCGGGTCTTCAAGGTTCTTTCTTTGTTAATAGAGACTGCAACTACTTCAGTCAGGACAGGAAGAATACTATCTAAATAGTCAATCCAGTGCCTTTGGGTAAGCAAAAGTAAAGATGAAAAGACATGGAACTAAACAAAAAGTAAATCCTGAATTACATGTGCCTATGACTTCAGTTTTAGAAACCCCAGGAAGAAGCAACATGGAATCTAATTTTTACTATAAATACATCACTACCATAAAGGAAATAATAGGGTGGGAAAATCAAAGCCTCTGTGGGGTGTCCTATACCACTGTTGAAGCAAGGCACATAGAGTACCTTTCACACACTATTTTTCTGTTCCTTCACAATTTAAACAAAAAAAAAAAAAAAAAAAAGACACAAAGACCTTCACTTTTGAAAGCAAAACACCTCTGTCCAAGGCAAAGTACTACAACAGTTCTGCCATGAAATGCAGGCTGCCAACATGTGAAGACTCACTTTGTAACATGAGTTTGGATCAAGTTTGGAGACACTTTCAGGTATTAAAATCTGTGGTTTCACCCACTGCCTATCCCATTCCACTACACTTGCATCAGCCCTATGTTAAGTCCAGGGGCCTTAAAAGTAGAGCATTTACATAGCCTGGGAGAGAAAAATCAAGGTGTTCCACATGCCTAATTCCCAGTAAGGTTTCACTGAGCTTACTCCCAACTAAGCTAATACAAATTTGAACCAAGTTGTAAAAAGGATGCATCTTTTAGAAGTTGGTTCACCAAATTCTACTGAACACATCCAAACATGCATAAGCAATAACATTTTACTCTTTGAAGCAATGCATCCTTTTTCATGTACTTGTGAAGTACAAACAAGCTCAAGTAATACTACTCTAGGCATAAAAATCACACACACAAAGTTGGACTATTAAGACATGCCTTGATTTTGTTCCATGTGACAACCTGCCACTTCAGTGTATTTCTTCAAGCAACTGCCACTAAATGGAAGAAGCAGGAATAGTCAGACTAAAGGCA